ATTTTAAGTCTTTAAGTCATCGGGAGGAGCAATGGCATGAAAAGTTCATCGCATTGCAAGAATGGTGACAGTGTAGGAAAGAGTGGGAACTAATTTGTCAAGGTTTGGACTTTAAATTTAACATCCTTGTGGGGGTGCTCCTCACCATAGCTGCAATGATTGACAGTAGCTAGCCAGGAGTCTTCTTGTACGAGCCAGGAATAAAACTTGGAATCTTCCATACATAATGCATAGGTTTTACATTTTATTATATGAAAGCACCTGTATAGCTTTTTTACATTGAAATGTTAATACATGTGACTGCTATGGAAGCAATACTTGTATGACTACCACAATTTTACAACCCAGAAAAGCTTACTCTATTTTTCTTTACCCTACAATAGTTCATAACAATGCCTCACACTTCTAAGGTTTGCACGTCAGCTTAATGGATTGTATTCTTACATTTTCACTACATTTGAGTGTTTTCCACATGCAACAACTTAGGCTGAGTATTTTATTAGTTAAATATTCTATTTTTAGTTGGAAATATAATCCATTACCTTGTTGCATTGTTATAAACTATTAGAACAAAGGATAGTACATAAATGCTTTGAGTATAAATATAGAAAAATACAAGAAAATATTAACACAATTCACAAAATTAATTGTCATAAAGATTTTATTGTGGGATATAAACCTGACAGATAATTCTATTTTTATTAAATATTATGCTACAATATAGTAAAAACAACCCACAGACACACCATCATAGAAGTTGTCAAATTAATTTGTTTAATTATCTCCCTCACTTTGAAACAGCTCTTTTCGACAGCTGTTCCCATGTTTTCTAATGTCTTCCCTGGCAGCTACCAATAGATTTAGAAAAAACTTGCCCAAGTGTCCTTGCAAATTTTAAGCAATGTGAAAAGTATCAACTATGATCATTTTGTTAATTATTTCAACTGCCATCATCTCCTCAAAAACAAGCTCATTGTAGGCAAACTAAGACCCCTGAGAAACAAGTTGGACACATTAGAATGCTTCTGAAGATCCCAACCTATGGGTTACTAAAATAGGAGATGCCCGCAAAGAGTATATGCTAAGCATATACAAATGCTATGGAGAATAAAGTTGAAGCTGGAAGTAAGAAATAGAACTTTGTAACAGTGGAGGCTTTAGAAGAAGAAAAGTTGAAGATACAATCTGTCATGCCTTCTATAACATCTCTTCTGCTCATGCTCTGTGTATCAAATAAGATGTTCCATAAATATCTCTACTAGTGGATATACTACTTATATGTCCTTATTCACCCTGATCAATTAGTTATTTCTGCCAGACAAGTCTCTATAACATTCCACCATCAACAACAAACAAAAAATACAGTACGTTCATATCTTACTAATGAATGCTGAAACAATGAATTCAAAAGCCTGTCAGTGCAAAAATTGCTTATTTTTTCATAATAGATGCTTTCATGCTCTTCTTTTTTCCCCCTCTCTAATTAATAATCCACAGCCATTTCAATAATTTTAGTTTGCACTAATGCAGTTCTGGTGGGGACGAGTGGGGCAATGGCTGCAAGACTGGGAGGGGAATTAAACAATCTTCCCAATCTCGGAGAATGAATATTTCCTTACGAATTAAAATAAAAGTTGAAAAAGAATACCTAGGCTAAAAACAAAGAGGCTGCTTAAATAAATTCTGAGCAAAAGGCTTAAAAGAACAATCCAAAGTGTCCTAACTTCTCAGAATCTGCTACGTATTGGAGAGACCCATGATTCTCCTATTGTTTTGGGATTGCACCCAAGGTGCCTATTACTAATAATACTACATTTACTTTCTTTTGCCACAGTCTGTCTTCTTCTATTTGCAAATTTTTGTATTTTGTTATTTTCTCCAGTTCTTTCTCCTCTATTCTACTATCTTAAGGTATTGCAATGTTATAATCATATGTTCACTACAATGTGAACTCACAACTGCCAGTTTTTTACCTGGTGTTGGTCTTCATACACATCACATTCTTTCCAAGAACCTAGGAGGTCCTAATGTATTGGCATAGTATATGTGTGGATCAGGGGTGATAGTCACTTACCTTCGCTACTGGTTCGCAAATGTGAGTGTGCACAGGGACTTCCACGCATGTTCAGATCATCAAAAACAGAATGTGATGATTTCTGGGCGAGTGGGTGGAGCCTCCTGCAACCACCGCTACCAGTTCGCCCAAGCCGTATAGAACCAGCTGAATACCAACAGTGCGGATTCAACAGTGTGGCTTTTTGCAGTTGACAGATGGAAATTTTTTCAATGTCCAGATTTTCTAAATACTGTCCAAGATTTTTTGGTATAGCACCCAGTGTGGCAACATTGGGACCATGTGGCTGGTTTATACCATAATCTTTCAATTTTCCAATCTTGATACTTTGTGATCTTCTCCAATTCTTTATTTTCTGTTCTACTGCCTCCTGGTACTGCCACATCAATTAGCCACACTTTCTTCTTTTCAATCACGGTTATATGTGATGTGTTATGAGCCAAGGCTTTATCAGTTTGTATATCGAAATCCCACAATATTTTAACCTGCCCATTTCCAACTATTTTTTTCCAATTATAGATTCCCACAAATTTTTCATGACTGGTACGTAATAATTTTTACAGATGTTCCAGGAAATCATTATGGCAGCTGTGTTGTTGTTACTTACAATCTGTTTCTGCAATCTTCTCTCACGAGCTGAGTATAGATCTTAACTGTTTCTTCTGCCTGTTTGCACAATATGCATTTTGAATTATTTGATGATTTTTTCAATTCTGGCCTTGATTGTATTAGCCTGAATAGCTTGTTCTTGTACCATCAAAATCAATCCTTTATTTTTTCTTTTAATGTTCCAGTTGTATACCATTGCCAGGTTTTATTTTTATTTACTTTGCGTCAGTCTTTTGTAGAAATATACCATGTAAGGATTTTCCTTGCTTCTGTTTCTGTTACATTATTACAATATTAATGTTGTTGGTTTTTTTGTTATATTTAGTAAGTTCTAATTTTTAACCTGCATCAATACTTGTTCTTGGCTGTCTTTTCCATAATTAGCCAATACATGCTTTTTTCTTTGACACTTTGTTTGACTTAATGTAAACCTCTGCCTCCATTTCTGTGGGACAGGTTTTATATATCAATATCACTAGAAGTGATGTAATGCATAATGAATAGTCTCCCTTAACTTAGTCATCATTTTCCTTGTTTTTTGGCCCAGTTTAGCTTATTGTATGTCTGGCAGTGTTTTATATCACAGGTATTTATTGATAGCTTTGATGATGTTTCTACTGTTTAATTTTGTTCTTAGCAATTTTCTCACCCTTTGAATGTATAATTTACTAATCACATTTGAAAGTTGCCCAGGCAAGTTAAGTTATTAATTATTAACAATTAATTGTAATTGAACATATTAATTGTATATAATTATAATTAGTAATAACTAATGTTTTATTATTAATAATAATACCTTAGTAAGTTATTATGGTTTGTTGCACAGTATTAAGACTGCATTTTGCATTTTTGCCCACCTACTAAGTCCTTCCAAAGGATGTTCTTTGATGACATTAAAGGTACCATGATGTGAGCTGTTCCAAGTAAAGCTGCCTTTCACAATTGACTGATGGTAATATTGTCAATTCTGATGATGTTCAAGTGGTGCTCCAGATGTTTTGGAATTATACCCAGGGCACCTATTGCTATCAGTACTATTTTTGCTCTTGCAGTCATTTCACTTCTATTTGTAGGTCTTTGCATTTTGTGATTTTTCTCCAATTCTTTCTCTTCTATTCTTCTGTCTCCAAATCCTGCAATGTCCACTATCCAGTTATTATCAATAATATTAATATTATTACTCATAGTACATTTAGCTAAAGTAGTATTTTTTAAATATATATATATATATATATATATATATATATATATATATATATTTTCTCATAATAAATGTTTGAGGATCAACAAATAATCCAAAACTTCATGAAGGGGTTGATGAGCTGAAAAGTTTTGGGATTCCTAATTTAGAGCTAGGATTAATGCCTATGCTATCAAAATTACTCCTCTCACCTCCTCTCCCCTCCCCTCCCCTCCTCCCCTCTCCTCCCTAGGGTTATTATTCTCATGTATTATTTGGCATGAATTGCTGTGTAGCATCTTGAGTATTTATTAAGAAAGGTCTTGCAAAGCAAAGAGCAACTATGAGAAGACTGGCAGAGAATAGGAAGTATTTTCAATCATTGCTTATCTAGAGCATCTCCTGTTCCTTATTTTAGAAAGCCAGGGCTAGTTGCAACTTTTCAGTGTTCCCACAATATTGTAATATGTTACGAGCTTTACAATTATGTTAAAAACTTGCAAATATTTCAGGAAAGTGAAGTGAGCACATTCATATCCTGCTTTTCAAATTATGGCTGTGAAAAATCAGTCTATTAAATTTCACCATCTAGCAGCCCATCTTTAGCCCGATTGCAGAACTGTTTTAACAGTGAGTAAGGTTGTTATGGAATGTTAAGCAAGTCACCTTTCCCTTACATTGAAAGTATCTTGTTATACGGTGATTAGCAGCTTCATGAAGCCCCTCGTCTGCAGTGAAGTTGCAGTTATGTTGGTTGACTGCCTCTCAATAAGTTGTGGCAGTCAAAAGACATAATATTTAACTGACTAAAGGAACACTTTTGAAGTGTCCAGATTGAGGGGGAGGGAGAATTCCTGACTTTTAATAGGTGATCAGATGGGAAAAATTGTCATGCAACCCATATTTGCTAAAAGTACATCTCCAAAGCAGTTACTAAGAGTGAAAGAATCCACTGCTTTGTACATCTGGCTATCTTAGCCCTTGGAAGAAAATTAATCTTGCACAAAAAGAACCATTGGTGTCTGTTTGTTTTATTCTTAATAAGAGATTCGTTTTTTTTCAAAACTTCAGCACACAAGTGGAGTGTTCTGAACAAGCTTGATTTAGAAGTAAAATAAGTTCACTCAAATAGAAGTTCAATTGATTTAAAAGGGGAAAAAATATTTTAAATGCACCAAAGAATATTTCACAGATCTGTTGCAGAATGACCACAGCATAGTATATCAAAAATAACTTCCAATCAATTAGAAAAAAAAATGTTATTCAGTATACAAATTTAATTTGCTTTGCTTTATCTCCAGATGTCTGTAGTTCCCAAAGAAAAGAATAAGAAATAAATGTGGAGGAATTATCTCATGACATTTTTCACTCGACCTTTATTGAAGTGCTGGCACTTCTGATGTAGTCACCTAGAGAGAGGATTATACAGTGAAAAACAGAATATCCCCATACATTCCTCAACCACCTCTTCAGTTCATCCTTATAAGCCATTTATGAGAATTTTGTCAAATTGTTTTTCTCTCTGAAAATATTTTTAGCCTACTGTGCAACTGATACGGGCATATGAGTCTCATATGCCTATTAATATATCTCTGACCTAAAGGTGATAACAGAAGTATGGCTGACATGATTGATATGACATACCATATTTTTTGGAGTATAAGATGTACCTTCCCCCCCCCAAAGGGGGTAAAAATTTAGATGCATCTTATACAACGAATGTAGCCCTGCCCACCCACTGGCCCCCACCCTTTGGCCTCTGCCTCCCAGCAGTTTACCTCCTTGCAGAAAGCAGCAAGAAAAAACAGCTCATTTCAGCTTCAGCACAGCTTAATTAGCACAAGTTGATTGGATCGGCCTCCCGACTCTCAGCTGTTGTGCTCTCAGCTGTATTGCATGGCCCTCTGCTGCTTGCTGCAAGGAGGTAAATTGCTGGGAGCAGGGTTTGTTTTTTTTTTTTTTTTTTGTGCTAATCAAGCTATGCTGAAAACGAAAATGAAAGTAAAGCAGGCTGTTTGCTGTTTGCTGCAATGAGGCAAAATTGCTGGGAGGCAGAGGCAGATTTCTTTTTCTTGTTTTCCTCACCAAAAAAGGAAGGTGCATCTTATAGTCCGGAGCATCTTATACTCCAAAAAATATGGTAATGAAAATATTTTCTTCTTGTCAGAAATTTGTAGTTAGATAATCACAAAGTCAGGGCATCTCTTTCTTTAACTCAGCAGTCCTTAAAAAATACCACCATTGTACTTTCTATGGAGCCGAACTCTGTTCCTATCTAGTGATTGTCTGTATTTCTGTAGGCCAGATCTGGTATCCCTACACTTCTTTTTCTTGCACACACACATCACAGAAACATCATTCTCTTGTTATCACACACACAGAAATGTGTGTGTGATAACAAGCAGGACAAAACGGAAGAGCAAAAGCTCCTAGCAGACTAGGAGCTGTGGCAACTGCATGTTCTGTAAATGTCTCTGAGATTTTAAAGGAGCAACCAACACTCCATCTGCATGATCTTTCCCCCACTCCTTTTTATTTATTTTTCACCTTTTTTCTAGAACAGAAAATGATTCTCCAAAATAAGACTTGTGGTAAACAATGAAAAACATATGAAGGTGCCCCTGCTGTGATATCTCAGCCAATACTGAGATAATTAGAGACAGGATGAGCAAGAGCAAACTCTAGAACAGGGCTGTCAAACTCCCAGCCTGCAGTACAAATGCGTCATGTGCTGGCCATGCCCACATCCAGTTTAGCAAAGAGGGAAAAGTCCCGATACATCACATGATGCTGCTGTGACAACATGAGTTTGACAGCCCTGCTCTAAAAGGTGAAAAGGATTGTAGCATTTAGGCAAGTTTTAAACAGGTCCAACATCCATGAATTACTTCTGACTCCTTCCATGGTCCTTCCAGCTGCTTTGTTCTAACATATCCTAAAATACTGACCATGCAGAATGGATCAAAGCAAGTTTGATATTCACTTTGTTCTAAATTCCCATCTCAAAGTTCAGAAACTATCTGTGAAACTCAACAACAGCTGATCATAACTGTGGAAATTAAAATGGAAATGCCAAAAGGAATGGCTCTTGGGAGACTTCTGATACCTTACATTATTCTTTGTTCATCTATTTCTTTCTTTGTACAGTTGAAAATAATAATATATGCTCCCTCTCCTTGCAATATCAATGTTTTCAAGGGCTTGGGGAATCTGAGATGAATTCAACCTTATTAAAATGTAAACAGCATAAGGGAAAAAGGAAGTTCCTGAAAAAAAAATAGATAAAAAAAATTGGATGTTTGTTGTTTGAAGTGAGCTGGATTAGAAAGCACTCTGGGACTCTTTTATCTATCTATTGTACATATGCATAAATTTAACATTCAGAAATGGTTCACTGTCTCACCTAGACAAATCTATTTGTCCATTTTTTCCAAATTCTTCTTGACTTAACCCACTTATTGAACATTTACTGAGTATGACAGAAGATCACATTCTGGCGATGAAGGATGGAACTCAATAAACCATTACAATTTCTGTGAAAGTTTGCCTTTGTTTGAGTTCATTCATGTTCTTTAGGAATAGATATATCCTGTCTGGGCTGCAAAATAAACAGTACAAATTTTAATGATTTGGGGCACAGGATCTGAGTAGAAGGGGGGGCACATCAACTTTTAAAAAGGCACAACAAATTAAAGCAATGTAGATATCACTGAGATTTTCAAGGAATAAAAAAAAACTTACTAAATTTGTTGGTATTGTGCTTGACCCCATGCTGACAATGCAACTGAATAATAAAATGGCTCTTGTGTTTTGATTTTATCATTCTCAATAAGAACAAGGAAGATGGTAGGCCACCTTGCTATGGCCAAAATAATCAATCTATCTATCTGTCATCAAAGTAGAGATCTCCAATGATACAAGATTCAGGTGTGAGTAGCTTTTTTACCTATTAAATTTCATTATAAGATTAAAAAATACAGGAAAAAAAACAAAAGGTAAAGAACTAAGAGACAGAAAGCGGGAAGTTATAATATGGGGGTGGGAGTAAGACTTCTGACTTTTTTCAGTGGAGTTAAATATATATATAAAAATACAACCTCAACTTTTTTTTCTTATATTTTACAACATTTTAAGCCATTTCTATAACAACAAAATCAATCTAATCATCAAGTTTTAATCAAGTATGAGCACCTTATCCATCTATGAAGCTAATTGAAAGTCTCCAATCCTATTGAACAAAATTATCGTGGAACAAAATGGCAGATCAAGAAACATACTGATCCATTTTTTACCTGTCCAACATAGCTGTTGAGTTTCAGATGAGTTCCTGAAATTGTATCACCTATCTTTTTTTGGCAGGCTCCCCTCATTCTTAATCCCTGGGAATAGCCAACAAAGAAGGTTAAGCAGCAATCTTTTACCTCAATATTTGAGGATGGATATTGGGGTATGTGAATCCATTTCTATGGTGAATCAGTTGCAAGTAAGTATTATGGTGATCAGCTGAACAATGAAAAGCAAATCAAAATCAGCAAAGCAATGAGGAAAAGTTGAAAAAAATAGAGCATCCACAGCCAATTGGAAAATATTTTTCCAATGTTACTCCGTCTGTACTGGTTTGTTACAATGTATAGCAACAAACCCTACAAGCCACTTGAGCCACTTGATATTTAAAAGAGAAGTTATTGTTTATTGCAATGTGTGAAGTAGATTCCTCTCAAGTGTCATTCAAAGGTAGAACATCTAGACTCATTCTATTTGCATAAGAGCCAAGTGAAGTAAACCATGCTGTGTGCTTTATGTCTAAGTGAGAAGATATATAGTTGGCTGAAAGATAAAATAGAAGTTTTGTTGGTTGGTTTGCTAAATTGAAAGTTTTCTTGAGAAGGTAACCTTAAATACATGTTCAATCCTTTGTCATTAATTTTGTCTATTTAGCTGGGTTTTTTTTTTAAGGTCTTTGGTCTTTCGCAACTCACCAGCTAGGCTGCACTGCTATAAAAATGTCACATTTGAACCAAGCATGGCCCACACAATTTCGAGTAAAATGAGCACAGCATAGCTCCCAATTATAACTTCTATTTTCTCTTACGGTCCAAGCAGGTATTATTGAAAGATATTATTGCTCCATCGCGAAGCCCTGTTAAATTCTATATCAAAACTGAAAACATCAAATAATAAAAGTCTCATACTAATGAAATACGTTTGCTAAGGCATAGCTTTACATACAAATTTCTACATTTACCTGCAAGTTGGATGCTTTATGGCTTGACAATTTCCTTTTATTTTTGGATATTGCTGGAAGCACAATACCAATAATCCCTCTTGAGGAAATTATGGCAGGGACTTTTATACATAGAGTTTCATAAATATGATTCAAGGAATAAATGTTATCTGGAACTTAGAAAGAGCTGCTACAGTCACCTAAAACTGAGCTAATCGCAAAGCAGGGAGTTCAAATTTCATTTCTGCATTAAACTCACTTGGCAGCCTCAAGTCAGCCTTATTACTTTCAACTTCAGTTCTGTCAGGTTTGGTTCATATATTATGCTGATCCATAATGTTTTTTTTTAATTAAAAAGTTTTAACAAGTATTACAACAATTTTTTCCCATCCCTCCTCCCCCCCTTCCCTCCTTCCTTATTAAGAAGCTCTTTATAAGTAATCACATCTTGTTTTTGCTCTACACTTATATTCTCTATCGCGTGTCTGGGTATTGCCCACATTGGTAACTTATCGTTTAATTTATACTGATACTTTTTCCAGACATGCAATAAAGCATTTCTTAATATATGACTTTTAAAAGTCTTGTCCACTTTCTTATCATATAATAAATAAGCATGCCAACCATAAACCAAATCATATCCGTCAATATTCAATATTCTTTCTTCTGTTGAATTCATCCAGTCACTAATTGCTGACAGAACAGCTGCCTCATAATATAATCTTAAATTGGGCATTTTGAGACCTCCTCTTTCACGTATATCCTGCATTATTTTTTGTTTTATTCTCGGTCTCTTCCCTGGCCAGACAAAGTTATTAATACCCTTCTGCCATATCTTCAAATTCTCATCTTTTTAAAGTATTGGTATCATTTGAAAAAGAAACAAAAACTTAGGCAAAACATTCATTTTTACTGCTGCTATTCTTCCTAACAAAGATAATTGTAATTTTTTCCAATTTTCCATCTCTCTTTGTATTTTTTGCCACAACGGATCATAATTATGCTTAAATAATTTCGTATTTGATGTCATAATATAGACCCCTAAATACTTAACTTTTTTTATAATTTCAAATCCTGTTAGTCTTTCTAATTCATCTTTTTGATTTATAGTCATATTTTTAGTTATTATCTTCGTTTTCCTGCATTTATTTTAAATCCAGATACTTGTCCATATTGATTAATTATGTCCATTAAACCTACAACTGACTGTAATGGTTGGGTTAAAGTAACAACCAAGTCATCTGCAAATGCTCGTAATTTGTAGTCATACTGCCTAATTTTAATTCCATTTATTTTGTCTGACCTATGTATCTTACTTAACAAAAATTCCAAGGTCAAGATAAACAATAATGGAGACAAAGGACATCCTTGTCTTGTTCTTTTTTCTATATTAAAAGTATCTGTTAAACTATCATTAATTATTATTTGCGCTGTTTGTTTCTGATATATTGCCTTAATAGATTGTGTAAAATATTCTCCAAACTGCATCTTTTCTATTATTTTCAATAAGAATTGCCAATTCAATCGATCAAATGCTTTCTCCGCATCAAGCAATATCAGCACCACAGGGATTTGGTTGTTTTTCCCCAAATACTCCAATAGGTTAACAACTTGCCTTACATTACTCTTCATTTGTCTACCATTCATAAAACCAGTTTGATCATTATGAATCATTTGTTGCATGACTGTCATTAACCTATTTGCTAATATTTTAGCAAAAATCTTGTAATCTGTATTTAAAAGTGATATAGGCCTATAATTTTTTGGCTGGGTGTGGTCTTGCTCCTCCTTTGGAATCAGAGAAATATAATCTGTCCTCCAGGATGGGGGTACATCTCCTCCAGATTGTATGTTAGTAAATAATTCTTTGAGTGGTCCCACCATTTCTAACTGCAGGTGTTTATAATAAGCAACTGTCAAACCATCCGTCCCAGGAGCTTTACCCACTTTCAACTGCTTAATTGCAAACAAAAATCTCCTGTGAAGTTATTGGTTGATTTAAACCCTCCCTTTGCTCTTTTGTAATTGTAGGAATATTTTCTTTCTGTAGGTATCTATCTATATCTGTATCTTGAATTTTATCACCAGCATACAACCTCGTATAAAATTCTAAAAATGCTTTTTTAATCATATTTTGCTGATAAACCTCTTTATATTCTATTTTCTCTATGGTCCGTGACTTTTGTTTTTTCCATAACAGATATGCTAACCATCTCCCTGGTTTATTAGCATTGCAAAAAGTATTATGTTTAGCATATTGCAAATTAGTTGCAACCTGATCTGCCATTAACATATTAAATTGCCCTCGCAATAAGTTAATTGCCTCTTTTATTTTCTTGTCTGCTGGGTTCAATATCAAAGCTTGTTCTTTTTTTTAAATTTCCTCGTCTAAGTCCTTCCTTTTTTTTCCTGTTTACGTCTATGTTTATTATCCAAATATATCAAAATACCTCTCATATATGCTTTACTTGCATCCCAAACCATTTCCATAGATGTACCCTTATGCATATTTATAATGAAAAATTCTTTCATAATTTTTTACATTCTTTTACATTTTCCTCATATCTAAACAGATTTTCATTTAACCTCCAAGACCTCTTAAATTGTTCCTGGGGCTCTTTGGGGAGCTCTACCTATGCCCATCTGCTCTCTTCCTCCCCTTTTCCCGGGGAGAAAGATTCCAAGCTGCTAGACAGCTGATTTGCACTGTTCTAGCGGTTTTACATGATTGCAGAGCTGGCACTCACAAAAGGAATGTCTTCGGCGCCTGCGGTGCCACCGGAAGTCCACTGATCCATAATGTTTTGATTTGAAAGATGCTAGAACAGTGATGGCAAACCTTTTTGCCATCGCATGCCAGGAGCAGGGGGAGGTCACGTATGCACCCCACCCCTACACATGAGCATGCGACCCCCCTCCTCCTGGCATGCAATGACTGTTTTTCTCACTCTCCAAGCTCCAGAGCCTTGCTAGGAGCTTGGGGAGGGTGAAAACGGCCTCCTCCCGACCCCGCCGGAGGCCCTCCAGAGGCAGGAAATCGGCTGTTTGCCAACTTCTGGTAATGGCCCAACTCTGGATGGCCTCCGGGGGGGGGGGAGACAAGAAGGCCATTTTTGCCCTCCCCAACTCCTAGAAAGGCTCTGGAGCCTGAGGAGAGAGAAAAATGGGCCTTCCACACCACCACCCCGTGGCCCTCCGAAGGCAGGAAACAGCTTGTTTCCTTACTTCCAGTGGGCCCAGAAGGCCAGAAAATCAGCTGAGCTCACATGCCTTCTAATATGGCTACGCATGCCACCTGTGGCACATGTGCCATAAGTTCGCCATCACGGGGCTAGAACATTTTATCATGGAAGTTACAGTTCCATAAAGTGAGG